ATGGCGGACCGGCAGACTGTGCTGGAGATCCGCGACATGGACACCCTTACCGAACAGAAGGAGGCCCTAGACAAAGTATCTACGGTACCAGAAGGAAGCAGGAAGGTGACGGTCCTCGGACCAAATAAGCGAGGTATCAAGCTCGCTGTCGTGGTCACTACCCAAGAGGACGCGAACAGGCTGGAGAATATGGGGGACATTAAGATCGGTTTTGTGTCCTGCAAAATAAGTAGAAGAGTTATGGTCACAAGGTGCCACGGCTATGGACATATAGGTCGAGACTGCCAAGCAGTAGATAGGTCGGCTGCGTGCTTCAAGTGCGGAGAAGCCGGCCATAAGGTAGCAGATTGTAAGAAGAGCCTATGCTGCTTCTTATGCAAGGCGAAGTTCGGCGAAAAGAAGAACATCCAACACGTCGCTGGATCAGAGAGATGCGGAGTCTTTAGAACTGCCCTCCAGGAAGCAAAGAAGACTCTGTCGAGGACAAGGAAGAAATAAGGCCAAAACAACAGCGACACGGGAGATTCGCGCCAGTGACTACATGGGACCATTCATCTACGAAGTCTGAAGCCACTAGGTAGTTCCGTAGGTGGATAAAAGGTTCGAAACCCAGGGGATCAAGAAGTTTTTTTTAGTCGGTATTCGTGACTGCCTAAAGCAGGTATGCAAGGTTTATTTTTTTATCCTTGCATTTTGTGCGTTGAGTCCGACATACCCCAGCGCAAGCGGGAACTTCCTGGACATGCATAAAAGTATTTTTTTTTCTCTTCTCCCCCGTGAATAAAAAAAAATAATAATAATAATAATAACAATTAATAATTAATAACTTAATAACAATTGTTATTAAGTTTTATTACTTAGCTCAGTTTATATTGTATTATTTTACTTTTTTTCCCTTATTTTTTCATAAAAACACTGTAATATGCAACCTGTTCCTTTGTGGGCTTATTAGCCCTAGGAAAGTTTACTTTAAATAAATAAAAATACTTAGCATTTTTCACGTTTGCGTTACGCGTTTCCTATTTTTTCTCTGCTAAAGTTGCCTCTGCGTGTCAAGCTGCATCTACATAGCGAAAAAAGTGAAAAACGCGAGAAAAACATATTGTAATTTTTCGCGTTACTCACATTTTTTTATATCTAGATGCAGCTTTGCGAAGAAAAAATGAAAAACGCGTTACGCAGAAACGAAACGCGAAACATTACAATAATGTTCAAGTGCCGCAGACCCGTAACGCTAAAAATACAAAAATAAAGTAAAAAATAAGTGCCCATTTAGGAACACTACGAAAGTCGAAAAACTTATCATCATTACGTAAATAAGAAAAATTACTTACAAAAATCCACATTACCTATCTGTTACAACATTATAAAGGCGTAAAATAAAATTCCATTTGAACAAAAAATTTAATTTTGATCATGGTGCGTAGAGCAAAATTAAATAACAATTATGTTTATAAATTAGGTCAGTGTTTATTTAGCCACAAAAGTATTAAATCAAACAAGAACACCAATTTCGAAAAACTCAGGAGAGTCAAACCTTTACCCACAGTACCGACATGGGATCACTCTCTGATAAAATTATTTTTGTAAAATATCAAAAATAATATTAGGGAAATGTCACATTTAGTGGACCGCCACTTTGAGTGGACCACCTGAGCTTTTAAGTTATCTGACAGCGGAAACATGAAATAAATAAAACGAATAGCAGCACCGCACTTAGAAACCGTAAGAAATTAAGTTTTGCGATAAACATGTACGTTATTGTTTGATGTAACGCATTTTTAAGAATACAAACCAAAAAAGAAGTCGCTCTTACAATGAGTAAAGTGATTCGGAAGTGTAAAAGTAGTGTAAAATTTAAGTTTTAAAAGGTAACTTATTTTTTTCCTATTACTTTGGACATTGAAATTGATTATCTTAGTTTAATTAACCACTTCACTGGCAGGGCGTTCTAAATGGCGTTCCACGCGCCGATGCCCAGACTGGCAAAAACACTGAAATGGCGTTCCTAATAAAACTTTATTTTTTAAGAGTGTACACTACTTTTAACTTGTACAAAGCAATATTTCTATAGTTTAGACACCAGGGAACAATATTATTACAATAAAAGTTTCAGTTTTTGAGATTTTCAATGTTTCTTCGAACGTTGAAATACTCAATTTTTACCACTTTTAAACAAATGGCGTTCCACTTTCTTTCAATTTTTAGGCAGTAAAACTCATATTTTTTATTTAAAAAAATGTATTTATATACAATAATATAATAATATAATGCAAGAATTATAACAATAATAGTAATTGTTATTATTAATAATTATTATATTTTATTTATCAATTATTTATATTTATTTTTTATTTATTACATTATTATTATTATTATTATTATATAATATTGTATATAAATACATTTTTTTAAAATAAAAAATATGAGTTTTACTGCGTAAAAATTGAAAAAAAGTGGAACGCCATTTGTTGAAAAGTGGTAAAAATTGAGTATTTCAACGTTCGAAGAAACATTGAAAATCTCAAAAACTGAAACTTTTATTGTGATAATATTGTTCCCTGATGTCTAAACTATAGAAATATTGCTTTGTAGAAGTTAAAAGTAGTGTACACTCTTAAAAAATAAAGTTTTATTAGGAACGCCATTTCGGTGTTTTTGCCAGTCTGGGCCTCGGCGCGTGAAACGCCATTTGGAACGCCCTGCCAGTGAAGTGGTTAAGTGATAATTTTGACTAAAAAAAAATTGTGGTGGCTGCCATAAAAAGTTGTATTTCACTATGAGTGGACCACTGTTTATAACCATGAGAGGACTGGCTGTTTTTTATATTTTTAATGTCAGTTTACCATTTTTAAGGAAATAAATTGGTTTGAAACTATGTTTTATGTTCTTTATTAATTTTTTTGTGATATTGATGTGATATGTGCCAAAATTATTAAAAGTGGTTTCACTTGTAAACATTGCGACACAATCATGGTCTGAAGCTGCATAAGCATAAATTTTGTTTTAATATATCAGAAATTTTAAATAAATTAAAGAAAATAGAATAACTTTTACAATTTTTTAGGAGTGGTCCACTCAAGGTTACTTTTTTCATTCCTTAAAAATTAGCTATTTTTTTAAAGTCAATTGTTTTTTCCAAATAAAAATAAAACAAAGCTATTATGGTGTAAACACTTACCTAGGGATCTAAACTAAAGCATGTGTTACGATCCTAATTATTATAATTTCCCTAATGTTTCCCGATTCTATTTTAAAATTAATTAAAATAGGGACGGGGTAGTAAATAACAAGAAATTACTTTAGTTGAACAAATATATGTGTATTTTATGAAATAAGATAAAATTGATGAAAATAAGAGATGGACATAGGCTTTCTAATGGGAGTCTTAGAGTGGTTGATTGTTTACCTTGGGACAAAGGGTGATGCTAGTCGCTCAGGTATAATGGCACTAGTCCGTTAATGGTTGACTAAGTGGATGCAGTATTGTGTCTCGAGAAACAGGAACACTCTTTTCAAATGGCAAATTTGACTTCCAGATTGACTTTCCAAAATGCACTTTTGAAATATACGTAGAGTAAAGGACAACTACTGAAACTGGGTTTAGAGCACTGTGTCGTGAAGAACCACTTGTTATAGATAAAATTTTAAGACTGACTTGTGCAGAGCACCACTTCTCAATTTGAGACTTATAATATTGACGACTACATTTTCTTGAATTCTTTTCTAGACTGCTTTCTTAGACTGACTTTTTAGACTGATTTCTTATACTGAACTGCTGTTGATGGTCTGGCTCTTCTTATACCCAAATTTCCCTGTGTATTTGAAGAAACTGTACGTTTTGCCATGTACTTGAAGAATCGTTCGCTTTGCCATGCATTTGGAGAATCGTTCGCTTTGCCATGCATTTGGAGAATCGTTCGCTTTGCCAGGCATTTGGAGAATCGTTCGCTTTTCCATGCATTTGGAGAAACCCTTTGTTGCAGGAACACTTGTGGTGACTCACCATTAGATCGCACGTGTCCATTGCTTATTACTCATATGTTATTTTATAATTTTGTTATTTCCATTAATTTTTTATAATTTGTTGTTACAATTAATTGTTTATTACAATTCATTATTTATCATTTGTTGTATTATTTGTTGATTATAATTGTTTACAATTAAAGTCGGTATTAATTCCTAGTTATTATAACTCTATTATTACTGTTAATATTTATTATTACAATGTTTATGTTTATTATTGTTTATTATTATTTGTTAAAAGTTGTTGTTTAAAATTGTTATAACTATCTGTTTATTATAATTTGTTATTATTTCTAATGTTTATTCTTAGAATTTATTGTGGTTTATTATTGTTATTTGTTATAATTTATTGTCGTTTATTATTTGTTATATTTATTTATTATAATAATATGTTAAATAATTATGATTACTATTATTACTATTATTATTAATTATTATGATTGTTATTATTAATTATTGTAATTATTATTATTAATTATTATGATTATTATTATTAATTATTATAATTATTATTTATTGTTATTTTACATATTATTATTAACATTATTGAAAATAGGTTACGGTGACGTAACACATGGAATAGAAACCTCCGATCAATTTGCTTTCATAAAGAATTTTTTCGAAAGAAAGCTTAGGCGGTCCACTCAATGTGACATTACCCTATTGTAAGGAGTAACACTATGGTACTTATGTAGCTTTTAACATTTTTTTGTTAGATAAAATATATTTTATACCACAAATGCTTAAAACCTCATTTATTGTGAATAAAACTTTTGTGCAATAAAATTTTATAATACACCTTTTTCTCGCATAAATGAATTTGAAATGTCAGTAGTCGAATATTTTTTACTGTTACACATTTCTAATTTGAAGCAACATAAATTTTAATTAATTTAATTATATTAAAAATTAAAAAATCGAACTATTGGAAAGTTAGATATAAAAAAATTGTTCTATAATTTTCAAAAACTTACAATTCGCAGTAGGTCAGATATTTTTGATAGAATTTGTTCTTTTGGTTCTGGGAGTTTCTGCAAAACTGAAACTTGTCTCAGAAATCGTATATTTCCTTCCAATTGCTCTTGTGCGCTTCTCATCATCACAGACAAAAACACAGATCTGTCCAGAACCCATACTTTGCCATTTTTCTTCACTGGAAATAAAAAATATATTAAAAATTACCTTTTTTAAAATACTAGATAAATTTTGGCGAGCTATGCACGTTGTTTTTTCTCTCTTTTTTAACTAACAACACAAGCGAATCTGCAAACAAAAACCTCCCATCACGTCAGGATTTTTAGAAAAGTAGAGGTAAATTTCAAAAAATCATGTTTTTCGCTGTTTTTGAAAATTTCTACTGGGTAAATCCGAAGTGCTAGGGACTTGTCATAGGAGTAAAATTGAAGCCTGAACACTACTTTAAGAAGATAAAGCAATATTGCTGGACTCTACCAGGCCACAGGGGTGCATCAGGACACAATTAAAAATTTTAAAACATCAACCTTGCTTTAAAGTCATATTTAAAATAATTAACGGATTTCGACGAAAGTTTTCAAATAAAATTCCTTAATTAATAATCCAATACTACTTTCTTTAATAACTACATGTCCAAAAATGAACCCAACTATTGACGAGACTAACAAAGAACAATCAAATTTACAGATAATTTTACAAAAGTTAACCCTTATTAAAGAGAATAAAAAAATTCTTAACGACGAAAATACAAAAAGGGCGATCGGAGACGAAAACGGTATTGGCACTTCTAGATGCTCACAGCCTGACCTTCTGTTAGATATGGTAAAAACCGAAAAAAATACAAGGCAACGCGATTCGACATTGTCCTACTAATAATTTTAAGGATCTTTTTAAATCTCTCAAAATTAACCTCTATTCAAAAACTTCCGTAGAATTATGCAGGACTCAGCTAGAAAGTTTCTGACAAAATAATGATTCAGTACAATCGTAAAACCAAAAATACAGGCAGGTTTTTAACGAATTAAAATGCGCTATCCAAGCTAAACACTTGGGAACAATAGCCAGAAATATTGCCCTGCAGATAGAAGAACAGGCGGATATAAAAAGGTATATCATGAACATTCGGGATGAAATTGAAAGTCAAGTTCGATCTTTAAAACTCTTTACCATTATCGATGCACAACTAGAAGCTTTAGAAGCTGAAACTTGGTACCGTGAGAAATTAAAGAATATAGTTTTAACCACTTCTAAATCACAATGTCAATTAAATCTCCACAGACATGATAATGCAAACCACAACTTTCCGCCAGCACAGCGTTTTACAACGTCATGTACTAACTGTTGCACATGCGGACGATTGCAATCAATTGTTATTCAACCCTTCGGATTCAAAAGAGACATTCAACTCTTCGTGGATACAGGATCTTCCATAAATTTAATGAAAAAATCACATTTTGCACAACATTTCCTTAACCCCTTGACTGTGGATGACGTGTATACACGTCATGAAAAAAAACTGGCCCAAACAGTGGAAAACATCTTAACGTATATTCGCAAAAATTCTTACCCGGGGGTTTTTGGGGTCGCTGATCACGATTCTGAAGTCAGATTTTCAAAATAAATAATTTTTTATCCAAAATGTCCGCCAAAAATTTTGAAAAATTTCAAAAGTAGATAAATTCTTTTAAAAATTCTTACTCGGGGGTTTTTGGGGTCGCTGATCACGATTCTGAAGTCATATTTTCAAAATACATAATTTTTCATCCAAAATGTCCGCTAAAAATTTTGAAAAATTTCTCAAGTGGATAAATTCTTTTAAAAGTTCTTACTATTTAAACTTTGAAAAACTAATAACAGATGCGTAATCAGCGACCACGAAAACCCCCGAGTAACGAATTTTAAGCGAATCTAATGAATTTTTCAAAATTGTGTCTGCCATTTTTGATCCGCCATTTTGAATTTTAAAAAACTAATGCCAGATTCGTAATCAGCGAACACGAAAACCCCCGAGTAACGAATTTTAAGCGAATCCAATGAATTTTTCAAAATCGTGTTCGCCATTTTGGATTCCGACATTTTGAATTTTAAAAACGAATGTCAGATTCGTAATCAGCGACCACGAAAACCTCCGAGTAACAAATTTTAAGCGAATCCAATGAATTTTTCAAAATCGTGTCCGCCATTTTGGATCCGCCATTTTGAATTTTAAAAAACTAATGTCAGATTCGTAATCAGCGACCACGAAAACCTCCGAGTAACGAATTTTAAGCGAATTCAATGAATTTTTTAATATCGTGTCCGCCATATTGGATCCGCCATTTTGAATTTTTGAAAATTAACACTGGAATCGTAATCAGCGACCCCAAAAACCCCTTAGTATATAGTGTCATGAAAATTTATTCACAAGAAGGTCTTACACATTTTGGGACCATTTTGTTATATTTTAGCTGCACACTGAAGGGGTTAAAGAAGCATGCGAAAAAAATTTTCAAATGGGCAACGATACACAAACCGCTATGTATAAAGCAAAAATAAATTTAATTAATAAAAACCATGTTGTATACATAGTACCCAACGATTTCCCTCTACCACAAGATGGTATATTAGGATTACCGTTTTTGCAACAATACTTCGTATAGACTATCCAACACAAAACTGCGAAAAAGAAAACATCGAATGTGAATACATCTAATACTTTAGAATCCGAAGAACTGTATCCGAATATAGATTTACGACTTAATTCAGAAGTAGAGATGGTATAATCGAAATCGAATATAGGAGATAATCGAATACTGTCTTTCGATTATTCGAATAATGACAATATAATATCTATCTTTAAGAAAGAGCAGTCTACCGGCAATAGAAAAGTAGCGGGCTTGCATCCCACCATGCTACCGTTTTTTCTGAGTTCTTTGATAATTTTAAAATTATTAATTAATTTCGAAAATATTTTTCAGATTAAGCAGTTTTCTGTATTAGGGCAGCTGTGCTGTCGATACATATGAAACCCAAGAGCTTATTAAGAGATTTACTTATTTATTTCTGAGATTGATTCGGGAAAATTGTTAACTTCTTCAACATTTAATAATATATATATAAATAATAATACAATAATATTATTAAAAATAGTAATAAATAATAATATTAATAAAATAATAATAACAAATAATAAAAATAAAAAATAATAGTAAAACGTAAAAAAATATATTTCTTTCGATATAGGTTAGGTTAAATTAACTTGCGGTGGCACCTCCTAGTGGCGTTTGGGTCTATTTTAAAAAATTCTTTTATGAAAAAGAAAGGAAAACAAAAGCTAAGTGTGATTTATGTGGCCGAGAGTTAACATATTGCAATAGTACAACATCTTTGAGGAATCATCTCCTGACTCGCAAAATAAATGTTAAAGTTCCTGAGCAAACATCAAAACCTGCTGCTAAACGACAATGCACCGAGGAGGCTAGAATGCTTGTACAGAGTACAAGTTATAATTAAGAGTATTAAAAAGTTGCGCATGACGATTTTGGTAGCCCAAACAAATTTCTGAGTGGAAAAAAGCAAGAAACAGGTGCCACCGAGCACTTCAATTTTCCCATATAAAATGATTGGGAAAAATTGAAATTTTTGCAAAATCATAATCATTTGCGAGGGTTTTAAAAAAGTTAACATTAAGCTATTAGGATTTATAGAGGGCTCTCCGACAAGTAATTTGACCAATATAACTTTCAATTTTTACAACCCCTACCTTCTACAGCACTGCCCCAAAGTTACCCCTTTTTTAAATATTTATAATTTAACGTGTTTTTGTGGTATAATATCGATTTTTAAACGTTTTTGTCGGATCTTGTGTTTATAGAAAAATACGTATTTATTTTTATTGTCATTAAAACAAATTGCAGGGATTTATTGCTTGTTTCCATCACTAAAAATTTTTTTGGCCCACCCTAATCTTCATGCGCACCTTTTTAATACTCTTAATTATAACTTGTATAGAATGCACGGTTTTTATGTTTTGCGTAAATATGAAAATTTGATAAGAGAATATGTGAGATGTAATCCGGAAGTTCGTCCGAAACCGTAAGGTATGGACTATATATAATTAAAAAATAATAAATATAACTGTTTTTGCTGTTAAAATTTGTCTAAAATAAATAAAATTAAGTTTCAATATAGATAATAATTGATTGGAAATTTTCCAAGGATTGTGAATTTGGGATCAGATTTTTTCTACATAGCTGCGAATAAGCACAAAAAGGCAGAAACCGTAAGGAAACATTGAAAAAAATCGAATTATTTCACTATTTTGCAAAAATATGGCTAAAAACTAAAAACACCCAGATTTCCGGAATAATCATTTTAACGTATAGCTTTTCAACTATGTTTCCTGAAAATTTGAGCCAAATCGAAAAAGGTGTTTTTGAGTTATAAATAATATCACAAAAATTCCAACGGCATTGGATTCTTTGGAAAATTTCCCATCGACTGGTACTTTTCCGATTTTTTTTAGACCAAAATTGTCATTTTTTCAAACAAAAATGGATTTTTCAATCTTAGTTTTCAAAAATGGCACTTCTCATAAAATTGAAGATTGTGAGTGATCTTTATGAGATAGGCACTTAAAATTTTGGCTAGATCACTATTTTTGAAGGCAGAATACGTCTAAAAACTTTGAGACAAATCGGTAACTTGTCACGTACAACTGTGTGATTTACCCGTGGAATCCCCCAATACCTTTAATGATATTTTCATTGTAGTGTGGTTTAACACTATTCAAAGCGAACGGACTAATAAATAACGAACAAACATAATATTTTATATCAATTGTTGAGTAAGTAACATCAACATTATTTGTACTTAAAGTTTTCCCTTCAATGAAAAACGAAGGCGAACAAGAACACAAAATACTTTTTGAGTTTTTTTGGTGGTTTAATTGGTGCTGTAGAAGCAGAATAATTAATTTGTTTCCCTTTACCTTTGTCATAAGTGAACGAGATAATTCTACCTATAATAATTTTTTTACTTTTTTCATTATAAAACACACACCAATTACCCAACGCGATATGTTTATTTACAAATAAGTCTTTATTAGAAATGTCATTTTTGATCGATTTATCTTTACTTAAGACTTTGTTGGTTTCAGTTAGAGCATTTTTGACTCTATGCAGTCTATCACTGCTCAGT